CTAGACACATTACACTAGTTACTGACTGGTGTGTTCAATCAAAAATATAGAGTTTAGACTAGCCAGCAATACGATACATACTACTGATATGAATAGTTAGAAACCGGTGGTATCGACCAGTAGTGTCCTTCAGACAGATCAAATTGGTCCAGTCGCTAGATGACTGATTATAATATTTATTTAGGAGTCAGCTCATTAGATGCCTACTGAAACCAATAAAACTCATGCATGAGGACCAGTCTGAATTGCCGCCATTCTGAAACTACAGTTGACTGTTTATTCAGATTACTGAATGGTGTAATTATTAGATAGTGTACTTTTGACTGGACACTAGTTAGGAACTTGTGCAATCACCATCAACGGAAGGGATTTGAAAGAGGTTACTTCATTCACTTATCTAGCTAGGGAGCATTGTCTTAACTACAGGAGGAATGGACGAGGATGTCAAATCGAGAATCGGGAAGGCGAGAAACACATTCATCAACCTGAAACCAATCTGCAAATCTTCGTCACTCAACTCAGCATCAACAACAAAGTGATTCGGATTTTCAATACAAACGTCAGTCAAGTCAGTTCTTCTATACGGATCAGAAACTTGACAGTGTCACAAAGAATATTTCCAACAGCCTATTGCAGACCTTTATCAACAACTGTCTTCGCTCTAAACTGAAGATCAGATGGCCGGAAGAAATCGCCATCAAGAAACTAAGGGAGGAAACAAAACAAGAAGCAATCGCCCAACAAACATGCAGGAGAAAGTGGAGATGGATTGGACACTCGCTGAGGAGGCCACTCGCTGGGTGACACCGCGCGTCAGGCCATCGCTCGAGTGTAACCTGAAAGGGAAGCGGCGAGTGGGACGTCCAAGTGTGACATGGAGGAGATCGTGTGAAGAGGAGTTGAAACAGTATGGATTAACATGGATGTAGGTGAAAAGTACAGTAGAAAACAGAAGCAAGTGGAGACGTGCAGTTGAAACCCTATGTTCCACTAAGAACCCAAGGGAACAATAATAATAATAATAATGTAGTTGACCTAACTCACAGTCATTGCAGGGTATTTTGTAAATTATATTATTTTGTTTAATTGGATCCACCGACAGGGTCTTTTAGCCTACAGAGCTGTACTGTAAAACACTGTGTGACACTTTATCAAAATAAAATCTTATCCATAATGGAGTTATACTCGACCACCACAGTGTCCAAGTTTCATACTTATATCAAAACGTAGCATTATTGCGAATCTTACAAAATAATTCATCATGAGTATAAATCCTACCACAATGCCAAAATTTAACACACACACACAATAAGAATACGACTTTATATTTGCCTTCTTATGTCAGAAAACAAAAGGGTTTAAACCTACAATTTATGACATGATATGCCAATAAGATTCAAAGCGACATATATATTCATACCGCTGGTCAATGTTGACAAGTTATTATTTGATGAACTAGTTCAGGTATATATATTAATGGATAGAAATACAAGAATCAAGGTCAGTGTGTGATCAGGTTTGTGTACAATTCAATTTTTAAGGTAGAATATGGCCGTGTTCAACGTGAATATGTGGACAAATAAGTAGGTTAATTAATAATAAAAACCAAGATCTGTCATCTGTTTGTACTGTAAACATCAACAACTATCAAATTGTTTCATTTGATTATCGCTATCAGATTATTTGTTTTTATATAATAATAATAATATATACAAAAATAAGATTTTGGGATTAAAAGGGGGTACAAATGACACTTTTCAATGCATAGCCGTTCGTTCATTGCTTAGTTTATATATAACAACCGCTGCGATAGAGCACTACAATAATCTACTCCTAGGTATAGAAATTTTCATTGTAATTCTAATTAATAATCAGTCTTTAAAAGTACTTCTCAAGCAGACTGAAATGATGAGAACGTCGGGATTCTGACTATCGAAATTCTGATGAAGAAGAAGCAAGTCCAGCTAGCCACTAACTACGACTGCCCTTGCCGGCCTTCAGTGGAGACTATAAATTCATGAATTTGTATTATTGTCACTTTTCCTAATTTCTCTGACATTCAATCTATTGTAATGTTGATGCCACTGAACTGTAATCCATTGATATTATTTTCATGGATTCGATGTTATTTAAACAACAACATTAATGTTGTTAATAACACTAATTCATTCATTCACTATCATGGCTGGATATATAACTGTAGAACCTGATGATGAAGAGCAGGTTATCGAAAAGTGCATTCTTTGTTCAGCAACCATTCTTTAAAAAAATATTCAAACAAAATTCCCTACAAAAAACCAATACTTGAAAATTAATCTGATGCTCACTTGCGACTGGCCTTATTCAGACAGCGACCTATGGTTCGAGTGGGAAGCCGTGACCAGTAGGGTGCAGCAGGTTGAAAGTGAGTCAGTAACTCATCGAAGAAGATATATGTGTATAATAATGTGTATAATGTGTGTGTAATAATAATAATATTAATGACGACACCAACAATAAGGAATCTAAATCATCAGTAGTAATTAAATACAAGGAAGGAACATCAAAAGCCTTACGCAGAATTCTTAACAAGGCAGGAATAAAAATGGCTGGCATTCAAACCAACCACAAACTCAATTAGAAACAAGCTTTGTCGGTTAAAGGATCAATCCTGTGGAGCCAATAAAACAAAACAATTTAGTTTATCTAATACCCTGCTGGAATGATTGTCAGGTCAAATACATAGGTCAGACTAGTAGAACAGGGGTAGTCAGACTGGCGGAGCATAAAAACCTACCAGCGAAATCTAGATTAGTTGACCCGAATAAGATAAGAAATCTAGAGAATAGTTCAGCTATAGTACTCACTACATGCAATCACACACAACCATACAATAGGATGGATGGGATAGGATGACAGTTTTAAAATCTAATCTAATGTTCCAGGGCGTAGGGAGAGATTGATAACAGGAGCTTTGTTTATCGAATCAACTACAAAAACATGTAATAGGAGTGATTCATCACATGTCCCCCGTATCTGGAAGATTCTACTACCCCAACGACGACAAATAGGAGAGAACAAAGAAAACTATAAAACTCAAGTTTCGAAGTCATGTGATTATAATTGATGAAATGATTATGAACCACAATAAATTTTGTTCGAAACTTTGTCATCCAGTAAATAATACTGTTTCTTTGACTGTGTGATATATCTAATAAACAAACTAATATGGAATCATCGAAGAAGACATTGCGAATTGATCGCGCTATGTCATGAATTGGCTGGTCGAAGTTGGAATTCATGGGCTGGCCAATGGATCGGATCGGTTCCCCAGTGGCTGCTTAATAGTCTACGAGCGAGTTCGCCTCGTGAACGAGAAGGTCGTCGGTTCGAACCCTGGTAGTGGGTGCTTACTGCTGAAGAGGCGGTCGCAAACTAGGACAACGGAAACAGCTATCTAGTACTTCCTGCAGGTTTTCCAATGTCCCTCTAACTGATGTCAGCTCATAATGAAATCCTTCACTCAATCAATCAAACAAAATTCCCTACAAAACCAATACTTGAAAAGTAATAAATATTCAGTGAATACTGTATAGTCAACAGCTCGTCTTACATTAATTAAGCCAAAATTTCCGACGATTGGGTTTGTAGTAAAAAAGTTACCTGACTCATCGACATTATCACAAAATGATAATGAGAGAGACAATGTGTTGTAATACTGAAACACAATCGTCAAAACTAATGGTGCTCTTTAGTCATTTAGGTCTTTTAACCTCGAGCCTTATTACATATTTTTTTAATAGATTTGTAGGTGAGCAATTCAAAGCAAAAGCATACTGCATTACAATGAGTCAATCAATAGAAATTTATCAACCTATGCATGCACGCATGCTTACATACATAGCCAAACATCTTAGATGTTGGCAATACACTAGAAGCCAAGATAGAAATATTTACCACTTAATTGACAGGGTTTTTGGTCTAATTTTAACATTTTATCTTTTACAGCGCATTGAAGCAGATTGGTCTGTTAGTAAAGTATAAGAGCGTATTAGTTAGTTTCTGGTAATCTATAACAGGTGGATGTGATAAACGTCGTTTTCTTTCCTGGATAGTTGTAACAGTGGTTCTACTTGACGTGTGGTGCAACTAATAATCCAGCTGATATGATACTACACACACCAACACACTATACCGATGACATAAAATGTACTCTTTTTATCCTACTCCAAGTTGAATGACAACTTGCCTACGATGAGGGCTGAAAATTCGTGTCAAATGACTTTGAAAGTATAGTCTGTGCTACACTGCAAAGCTGCATATCAAACAAAAACAGCATAATCAATATTTGCTTACTATCGACACTTTCTGCCTTCATCCTCCTTCATTAGAAGTCTTCAAAGGAATCAATTCACTACAGTCAATGTATGTCGACAAACCCTGAAGTTTCGCAAAGAGTTATTTCAGTTACAATATTCGCTTTTAGCCAAATAATTGGAGAACGACTAAGTTGGAATAATCATTTGGCGTCATTCTAAGCCAATGTAAAACAACCATTCATCCGTTGTTTAAACTGTGCACATTCAAGTGAATCTCTAACATTTTCCACAGCTGTTCAGCAGTTTGTCCGGTGTTTTTTTTGCTGAAAAATATGTGCCCTACTAACCTTGCTTCAAGTTGGAGTATCATCGTGTTCAAGTTTATGAAAATATCCATATTTACATAAGGCATGGTGATCATGGTGACTACTTACGTCTTTCAAAGGATAATATATATTTTGTTCAACAAGCACCCAAAACAACAATACTGTCTCAACATTTTTGGTGTAACATGACCACTTGTAATGACCAATAAATCACTGAGTCACTTATAATATTTACCTCATAAACAAAAAAGACAACGTTTCGCTAATAGTAATAATAATAATAATATTAACAAAAGGAACAACTGTTACTAATCAGGGACATAGAATTTTGTGTATCGCATATATATGAATAACATTAATATTTTGCACAACTCACTTTGCTTTTATTGTTGAATTTTCCGACGTTTTCACTGGTTTATCGTCATCTTCGACAGTTTTATCGTTCGCCATGTCGTCTGATTTGGGCATTGGCAAGTTAAATTGTATTTTTCCCATAATTGGTCCAAAATTTACCACCAGACTTATGGGGACAATGGTCAAGTCAAGTTACTCCCTTCTTTTTTTTTATTTTCTGAGTCTTAATATCACTCACTCACTGACTTGATCAGTGATGTATGTACTTTTCCGTCTTTTTAAATGAATTATAATTTTCAAAGTTTTTTTTATTTGATGAATAATAATGTGCGTATTAGAGGTGGTTTATCCACAAACAGTCTCACTTTGGTTATGCATATATATATATATATATATGTAGTTCACGTGTTATTGTTGGCTAATAACATATCACAATATGACACACAAACACCAGTAAACACAAATGCACTCCTGTTCATGTGAACATGTTTACTTATTTCAAACAGGTCATTGAAAATTATGATGACTACGCAACACAATATGTAAGAAGCACAAACTGACCAATCAGGTTTGAGATTTAGAAATTTTTAATAAGGGCAACAAATAGGATATCAGACTTGTCTAATAATAATTTGTCAGCGAATAGAGTTGTTGTTGTTGTTGTTGTATGTATAACCAGAACATAAAATGTGCACTTTAGACTGAGGTGACTTTTTTCATTATACCTTCTGTTATTGGGATAAGCAGTTAGCATAATCTCATGAAATACAAGAGCGTAGAAGTATAGCTTGAGCAGAATTTAATTCCATGCCAATTAGTCTATTCGACTTGGTATAAGTGGCGCAGAATTATTTTCGATGACAGTTAGGTAATATGGAGAGCTTTAATCAGGTAAAAGCTGAAATTAAGCTGAGTGATGCAACATAATTGACAAGATTGAGTAGAGCTCAAAATCGAAAAAGGGTTAATATATGTGTAAAACTTCGGCACTGTGGTAGTAAGTAATTCCATATTAGTTTGTTTATTAGATGTATCACACAGTGAGTGAAACAGTATTATTTACTGGATGACAATGTTTCGAACACAATTCACTTATTGTTCATAATCATTTCATCAATTATAATCACACGACTTTGAAACTTGACATTTATAGTTTTCTTTGTTCTCTCCTATTTGTCGTGGAGTATCCGGCCGGGCAGGTGTTGAATCATTCCTATTACACGTGTTTGCAGTTGATTCGATAAACAAAGCTTCTGTTATCAATCTCTCCCTACACCCTGTGACATTAGATTTTAAAACTGTCATCCTATCCCATCCTATTGTATGGTTGTGTGTAATTGTATGTAGTAAGTGATATAGCTGAACTGTTCTCCAGATTTCTTATCTTATTTGGATCAACTAATCTAGATTTCGCTGGTAGGTTTTTATGCTCTGCTAGTCTGACTGCCCCTGTTCTACTAGTTTGACCTATGTATTTGACCTGACAATCATTGCATCAGGGTATTAGATAAGCTAAATTGTTTTGTTTTAAAGGCTCCACAGGATCCTTTAACGGACAAAGCTTGTTTCTAATTGAGTTTGTGGTTGGTTTGAATGCCAGTCACTTTTATTCCTGCCTTGTTAAGAATTCTTCGTAAGGTTTCTGAGGTTCCTTCCTTGTATGGAATTACTGCTGATGATTTAGATTCCTTATTGTTGGTGTCGTCATTAAAAGGGTTAAGTTGAGATCAGCGTCATAGGGAGTTGGAATATAATAGTGTGTGTGTGTGTAGGGGAGGAGGAGATAAATAAAATTTAAAAATTTTCGAAAATGATAAGCAGAAATTACATGTCAAATGTTGAGGCAAACGAGGTTCATTGTAGGTTCAGCAACTAAACAAACTTCTTCTTCTTTGTGTAGGTTAGGATTAAACATACAGACTGCTATAGCTTCTGTAGTTTCCAGAAGTTTGATTCTTTCTGCTTTGATATGCTTTCATCTTACTCTGTTGATGACATTGAATTTGGTTTGTGAATCCACTCTACTGTTGGTGAGACAATCAGATAAGAATTACCAAGGTAGGTTGAGTAATAAGCAAAATTCTTTTTTCTATGGTTTGGTTTGTAAGGGTTAGTTTTGTTTTTGCGAGTTTGACCACGGATTGATATCAGTTAGAGAACCATTAAAAACCAGTACTGGAGTACTGGACAGCTCTTTCATCCTAGTTTGGGGATCATCGGCAGTACGCACCCACCACACGGGTTAGAACCCACGACCTTCCGGTTACAAAGCCAGCTAGCTGGCTCGTATAACATTCAGCCACTGGGATCCGATTCAATGGCCAGTCCATGAAAAACGTGTCGATATCAATGCTGTGACTCATATCAACTAAATGTTTTGTTATAGACGAAGTTGGCAGTCTTCCACCTGAGTTTACTGGGGTTTAGTCATTTTGGGAATATGTTCTTCCACGTTCACGTGTGATTACTCCTCCTGATATATGTGCGACTACACACAAATACACTTCGGTATATAGTATGGGATATGACACAGTCACTTGTGCAATTTTTCGGCTTATAATAGAGCACGTTCTTGACTTTGTCGATAATGTTTTACGAATGACCGAATTTAGTACTTTCTCTTAATATTTAATTCAATTTTAGATTTTCCCGTCGATTGATTGGATTGAAGTGGTCGGTCTCAGGTTGACATCTCGGCTCCTTGTGCACATGCCTCGATGATGTCTGGGCATGTAATTACAAGTTGATTGGTGGATGGTGACTAGCAGTGGAATCCAATCCAGGATGCGTATCTTGTCCTATTTGGGACTCGTCGACTAGACGAACCTGCATTCCACAGTGAGTGATGATGGTCCCACCTAGGCCCGAGCCCAGTGTTCATAGTTTCTAACGCCATAGTGTTATCCACTAGACCACTTAGGCCACGAAAGCCATCTCTTGTGCAACGGGTCATATTAATTATTTAATTAAGTTTTAGATTTCCCCGTCGGTTGACTGGACCGAAGTGCTCGGTCTCACGTTGACATGTCGGCATCTAAATTCAATTAAATGATTAATATGACCTGTTGCACAAGAGGTGGCTCTCGTGGCCCAAGTGGTCTTGTGGATAACGCTTTGGCGTTTGAAACTAGTGGCACTCGGTTCGAGCCTCTGTGGGAACATCATCACTCACTGCGGAATGCAGGCACATCCAGTTGACGAGTCCCAAATAGGACGAGATGCTCATCCTGGATTCCACTGCTAGTCACCATCCACCAAATAATTCCTCTTAATATCCCACAGTTTATTCCCCCCATTATAAGATATTTAAAAAAAACAGAAGACAGTCTCCATGGGAGATTGTTGTGGATAAAGTTCTGGTTAGTCAACAGACATTGATGAAGAGTCTAAAGTGTGGACGGCAGACATTTCGTGTAGATTTTCTCTAATTTCAAAAACCAGGACTGCGGTTTTTCTCTCTCTTAATTTCTAAAGACAGTGACTTTAAGAACAACCGTAGCACAATAAACAGTCAGTCCCTTTATTTTTGTATATAAATGTGTATAGTTTGTTCATTTAAAACAACACCTGCTTAAGCGAACAATATTGTGCTTTTTTCAATTAGGTCTCATCAGGCTCAATCAACTCTAATGTGCATAACTTGACAAATAAATGTGAAAATACAAACCAGTCACAATAGGATGATAAGACCGTGCATATATGTTGTGCAATTAGTCATAACAATAATATAATAATACTGATAATAGAAATGGTTATTTACATTAGAAATATGAAAATGTGAAGCGATCTGTGATAACAGCATCATTAAAATAAAAACAGTAAGTGTTTAGGTGGAAGTGATCGATAAAAGAAGCTCAGAAAAATCGATTAAAGTTTAATCTTAATTAATTAATCAAAGTAGAGTGAAACACCTCCATACTGGCATCATTCTCTCTTTAAGTTAAGCGCATGCTTCAAGTCAGTCAATATATATATATATATGAATTCCATATAAGATAATTTTTGTTTGAAATAACACGCAGTCATTAATACTGCATCACTGTGGAATTGCATTCTATCACAATATCCAAGTTTTACAGCTAAATAAATTGCATATGAAGGAAGGTTGAACCAGCCGAGAAAACGCTTTTTTTTCTTCTCTGTTACAACTTCTTATCTTCACTTTCTCCTAAGTGATGATAACATTCAAATGAACTGTCGTCAAGATTTGACAGAATAGTTCTAAAATATTTGGGTGCCGAGTGAGAAGTAGACATTTGTAAAAAATTATATCTGTGTAAAATCTCAGCGAGATTGAAATGAGTAATTCCAACGTTTCGTTCGGCAATCTGGTCTGAACTTCTTCAGGGAAATTAATCGAAATTAAGATAACAGAGGTTTATATATAAAAAGGAACATCACTTGTTTTTAAAAACTTTGTCCAATCATGAGTCATTCAACAAGTATAATATTTCAGAACTATTCTATCAAATCTTGACGACAGTTCATTTGAATTATTTTGTAATCGTATTAAATTAACAAAGAAACTGTGTTATTGGAACAGTCATCGTGTTTTCACTCTCCGTTGTCTGCAACAAAATGCATATCCTAAATCCGTAGCTATCGAGTCACCTGACAACTCCAGTAGGTCGAATAAAGCAGCTCAATCTTTAGAAAGAAGACAATGCAATAAGTCCGACAGGGTGCTTCCACTAAACTCTAATCCTAAACACCATAATTTTGAAAATACGTCTAATCATAAAATTCTAGATACTAACAGTTTGAACAGACATGAAGGTGCGATGTTAGCTGATGCATAGGAAATCCTTATTAATAAATAAAAATGGATATGTATCACTAATTATTAGTACTTGGTCGAAAATTCCCGACTGTCCATACCTTCTTATGGAGACGTTAAGAAATGTTTTACAACTGTTTACCCACACACTCATGCACACTCTGTTTAAAGTGTTTAACAAAGGTAGACCAATATTTGTAAGTCCGAGGTCAAATTTTGATCACAGCTCATAAAATTTTGTTTATTATACTTGTTGAATGACTCATGATTGGACAAAGTTTTTAAACACAAGAAATGTTCTTTTTATATATTATTATTGCTACCTTGGGTTCCGAGTGGAACATAGGGCTTCAACTACACGTCTCCGATTGCTTCTGTCATCTGCTGTACTTTTCACCTGCATCCATGTTAATCCATACTGTTTCAGTTCCTCATCACACGATCTCCTCCATGTCATCCTTCGACGTCCTACTCACCGCTTCCCTTTCGAATTCCACTCGAGTGATGGCCTGACGCGCGATGTCACCCAACGGCCTCCTCAGCGAGTGTCCAATCTATCTCCACATTCTCCTGCATATCTGTTGGATGATTGGTTCTTGTTTTGTTTGTTTGTTCCCATAG